AAAGTGAGATAGAGAGAGAGAGAGAGAGAGAGAGAGAGAGAGAGAGAGAGAGAGAGAGAGAGAGATGGAAGGGAGAGAGGGAGGGAGGGAGAGAGGGAGGAAAGATATAGGTGATTTAAGAGCCTGTATGTTCATAGTACGTGACGATTTAAGTACGCGTCCACCTGCACCTCCACGCGTGAATGCGAAAACAGCGATTTTTCAGATTTACCTGCAGGTGGCTCTAGCAACACTCCCGTACTTATGTTTCAGTTTGTTTTTCAATGCTGTACGATATTAACGTACCTGACACGTTTTCTACCGTACAATGGAATTTTTAAGCACCCCTTCTCCCGCATTGTATCCTGTACATATCAAGTTTCTGCATGAAAATCAATGGGAAATCCATCGAACAAGGTACCCATGTAAAAGTACATGCACAAAGTTATTTTCGTAACGAACCGTATGAAAGCAAACCACGCAGCACACATGCTCATGAGCAAAACGTTATCTGAACAAATATATATCGCATAGACACAAACCGCGAAAAAATGCGGATTAAAAATGAAGGTGTTACGCCCCAGCATTATCTCGCTCATTGGTGCGTTTGAACATGGTAGCATGCAGGCGATTTAGTTGCGTGATATAACAGTATGCTTATGCATGCATGCATGATATCCATAGCAGTCTGTCATACATGTATGTGATTTAACAATATAACATAACAAGAGCCCATTAACCTGGGGTTAATGGTTAAAGGTTAAAGAGGTTAATGGTTAATTAAATGGTAATTTTTAATGGTTAATTAAATGGTTAAAGGGGTTAAATGGGCTCTTGAACATAACTGTGAACTGACACATGCACGTGATTTAAAGTGATTACGTCACCGTAAACACTAAAAGTAACAACAAATATTTCCACTTTTTCACAAAATATAAGGAATTCTGGTTACTTTTTATGGTTAAATTGCTGCATTATACTTCCTATTTTACTATATTGTTCGATGTAAACATACACTCGTGACTCATACATAATCAGGATCATAATATCAAATCGTCCAGGTTTTTTGGATTTTTAACTAGTTGAGAAACAATCTTATCAAGTGAGAATTTGACGATACATTTAGTCCTGTTAGTACTTACTTTTAATGAAAATAAAATGGCAACAAACATTTTACAAATATACACGATAGAAAATTCGGGACGTAGTCAATTTAACAGCATGATAACAACAACTAACGACAGTAACACATTGCTAGTAAATCATTTCCATAGGTGCTTGTTAAAAAACAAAAACAAAAATAAAAAAGGCGTTACATAACATCAAGAGTACATAATAGAGAAAGATATATTATGTACTCTTGATAACATACGTGGCCGCTTAACCGAGTTTATAGTCTACAACAATGGCGAAATAGCTCTGATGACAGCCTCTCACGCACGGGAGAGAGAAAGGTGACACATTAAAATATCATGTTTACTTAGCAGCTACAACATAAAGAAGCCAATGCATTATCGTAATGCAGCGCTGACATTAAAATAATAGCCGCGCAAATGATTGCTGCCTCCATAATACATCTTACTACAAACACGCGCGGGTGCAAAGCGGAAGAATCGGGTCAATATTTGCCTACGCACGCGCGCGTGCATATGCTCCCATTTGTCACGCGCGTGCGCGCGCGTACGCGCGCGTGTGGGAAGCTGGGAGGCAGGTAGGCTGACAGATAGACAGGCAGGCAGGTAGATAGGCAGGCAGGCAGGCAGACAGGCAGGCAGGCAGGCAGGCAGGCAGGCAGGCAGGCAGGCAGGCAGGCAGGCAGGCAGGGCAAGTAGATAGGCAGGCAGGCAGGCAGGCAGGCAGGCAGGCAGGCAGGTAGATAGGCAGGCAGGCAGGCAGGCAGGCAGGGCAAGTAGATGGCAGGCAGGCAG